CTTTTTAGAAATTTGCGTTTCACTAAACGGATGACATAAAAATATAAATTAGGAAGTAAATTTTAAAAATATTGAAAGAGCTTGAGAAGATTTAGGTTCAGAAGGGAATATCGCCTTTCTGTCAATAGATAGTTAGATATTTAGGCCACCGGTACAAACGAACTGTCAAAACAGCAGGTTTTTTCTGATGTCAAGAAATCTGACAAGTAGATTTGTTCCTACATTAAACCTTGCCAATAAGGCCTGTTTGGAAGAGATATCGGGAGAGGCAGAGTTATCGACAATCATGTTAGTAAACTGCCTCGTCTTCTTCGCCATACTTTTCTTTTCTGGGCTCAATTGTAAGCCTCAAACACTTCTTCTAATTTCTCTAGACGGATTCCGGTGGGATTTCGCTGGAAAAGCTCACACACCATACTTGGAATTTCTCAAGAAAACTGGCGTCACTGTTCCATACGTCCGATCCGTCTTCCCAACAGTCACAATGCCAGGACACTACAGCATTGTAACGGGCCTCTACCCCGAAAGCCACGGCATTATAAGTAACACCATGTACGATCCGGTCCTCAAAGCCCGATTTGGTGCCGCTCAAACGGATCCGCGATGGTGGAATGGTGCGGAACCAATATGGGTGACAAACCAAAAGCAAAAGGGAAAAAGTGGTGTCTTATACTGGCCTGGGTACAACATTAAAATTAAAGGCATGTATCCGAAATATAGGGAATATTCGCCTTCTCCCAATGTTGACCAGTTTAACAAAACAGGTAAGGTTATGGGCTTTGAGAAACGCGCTAAGAAAGTAATTGACTGGTTAACAGCTAAAAACCCGCCCAATTTTGTTGCTGTTTATTTCGAAGAGCCAGACAAAACATGCCACCACGCGGGATGGCGTGACTTGCCCGAAGCTATTCAACGAGTCGACAAAACTGTTGGTTTGTTTGTGGAAGGATTAAAACAACACGAGCTTCTCGACAAAGTAAACATAATGATCACAGCAGATCATGGCATGGCTAACACCTCTTGCAACAAAGTGATTGACCTTGATAAATATGTCGACCCAGAGAATTACGATTTCTGGGATTCCTGGTTTAACATGTTGTTGGCGCCGAAAGCTGGAAAGATGGAGGATGTTTATAAACGCCTTAAAAACGTATGTCACCTACACGTTTATCACAAAAATGAAGTTCCCGAATATTTGCACTTCAGGAGCAGCCCACGTATTTCGCCGCTTGTGGTCTTCCCTTCAGAGGGCTGGGTTTTAAGTTCCAAAAAAGGCCGGCGCGTACCAATGCCCAAAAATGGTCAATGGAAAAAACTCTCGCACGGCTTTAGTTGCAAGTGCAAGTCGATGTCCACTGCATTCATTGCGCGCGGGCCTGCGTTCAAAGAGAACTTTGAGGGAAAACCTTTTGGATCCGTTAGTCTTTACCCATTGATGTGTAAAATATTAGGAATTCAGCCTCTGCCGAACAACGGTAGCTTAGATGCAACAGCAGACTTGTTAGCACCATGATGTGGCCATGTGATGAGGGGCTGTGTGACGGCTTTAGATCGAGTCAAGTTTTAACAATAACTCTAATTTCTTGCGAGCTGATTGGCTCATTTTTATAATCAATAAGAGAACAGACGGATAAATTTTACTGCGGAACCACGAGCCGCATTCCACAGCCATTTTGACAATGTTATGACGCAATTTGTCATCAATAAGAGGACAGACGCATAAAACACTGGCGTCAATTTAACAATTGACCGACCATGACAACCATGACGACAGCACGTCCAGCCTCCGAGGGTCTGGATCGGTTGCGTCAGCTGATAGCTGAGCCTGTGAGTCCAGGCAGGTTCTCAGTTGTCGCGCACGGCTTGGCCTTGTACCGCAGGGCATGAAAGCCTTTCCGCTGGCTAGCTGATAGCTGACAATTAGTGTTCGCTTCTTTGGGAAAATCCAATAATGGATTCTTAAATCCGTAAACGGATTCATTTTCGTTTCTTTACTCAACAGGTGATTCCATTATTACTAGGATCGTGGTGCGTCAAAGAAACCAAAGAATCCTTGCCCAGAGAGGATTCTTCGGTTTCTTTGACGCATTATGATCCTAGTGATCTTGGATTGATCTGTTCAGTAAAGAAACGAAAATTCCGCTTTTTCCGAAAGAAACGCACCTTTAGTCAATATTTTAACTATTAGCTGTACTCCACAAACTGAGGACTGCAAAATTTACTGCTAATTCAATGTGGGCTGAAATGTTATCTGATAGCTAAGAAATTGTCGGTCATGCAGTCTTTATTTCCTTTCTACACTTCCACTTTCGAGCTATCTGATATAAGAGTTAATTGAGCGTCCTGCATAGGTTTGACGGCCTGCAGGATCAGAGCAAAAATGCGAAATGACAGAATTTGAAATTCTTTTGGCGGAATGTGGGGTTAAGAAAAAAAAAGCAACAGAAAATTACAGGTTACAGACCGTTACACGGAGAATTGACTGAAACTCTAATTA